GAAAGAAGTCTTCTCTTGATCTTCGATGGCCATCTTGATTTGGTTATATCCTGAATATCCATCCATAAATGAGAAAATAGTGTTCGTAGATGTGTTATCTACGAGCACGTCAACGTGTGGTAGTGGGAAGTCATCTTTAGGACTAGCTCGATTTAGATCTCGATAGTCCACACAAACTCGCATCTTCCCGTTCTTCTTCAGTACGGGCACTATGTTCGCAAGCCACTCAGGATACCGAGATACAACCAAAAACCCAGCATCTAGTTGTTTTTGGACTTCTTCCTTCATTTTGAGAGACCACTCTGGTTTTATCCTTCGAAGTTTCTGCTTTACTGGAGGAATCCGACTTTTTATGGGCAATTTGTGTTCAACAATTTCGCAATCTAATCCTGGCATGTCGTGATAAGACCAAGCGAAGACATCGACATATTCCTTCAAGAGGTCAATTAATTGATTCCTGACCTCCTTTGTCATCCTCGTGCCAATTGATATTTCCTTTCTATCCTCTTCTTGCCCTAGATTAATCTGCTCAACTTCCTCTTAATAGGGTTGGATTATACGATTCTCTTGGTCCATCAACCTTTGCATTTCGGGGGATAGATTCTCTTCATGCTCGAGCGATACATCACACAAGTTTAGATTTTGCTCAACTTCGTTTCCTTCGGCCATGTTCACTAGGTTCTGTATAATTTTGATGCATGGATGACTAAAAGAAGAAAATAGAGAGGAGAAAATAGGATAGAAATAACTTCTAAATGACGTATTTTATTATAAAAGAAACGAATTCATTACAGCCCTTTATTGTGGAAAACCCACAACCTTGGGCAGAGTTGTGGGTTAAAAAAGCAGTGAAATAATAAAACTCATGATGACGAAAAACATGAATCCCTAATGGACATCCCTATTCAGGCAGTCTTCCAACAGCACCGTTTCACGACCTTTAATCTTCATGCTTGGGGAGCGGTTGCTTGTCGATACTGGGTGTGTCCGTGTCAAATTTTAACCACCCAGCGTCAATTAGGCCTTGGACTCAAAGCTTCAAGGCCTTGCATCGCTCCACAGAATGTCCTGGGGAGCCCGAGTGATAATCGCAACGCTCCTCGGGGTTGTACCATGGAGGGAAAGGGGGCTGAATTGCTTCGACAGCGGGACTCGTACCAACATGGAAGCCTCTAAGAGTTGAGGTAACAGCGCCGCATAGGTGGTAGGAATTTTATCCACCAGCTTCTCTTTCCACGACTCGGTTTGTGTCGCGCCTCTACTCTTTGGAGGGGTTGTGGCTATGGTGACTGCATTGATCCCATCCTCCTTCTTCTTTCCATAGGACTTCTTGTAGTCGTAACTCCCTAGAGCCTTTCCTATTTTACCGCTCTTCAAACCCTGCTCCACCCTTTCACCTATGGTGACTATGTCGGCGAAAAGGGTCGAGGTATTCCCTATCATCTTATCATAATAG